TTTTTCCCCTGACCCTAAATTGCCTTGGGAGGATGCCATGTACAAGTTAAAGGTCCAAGAATGAGAGCAGGGGCTTCCCAAGTGCCCAGAGAGGTCATCGCTGCCCCCGGGCTGGGTGAAGTGTTGCTTCTTTCAGGCTTTGCCTAGTTATGGCTAAGCAGCAGCCTGCCCCAGTGCCCCATTTACCTAATAGCCCACCTTCTCATCTAGTCTCACTGCAGGGATTGAGGCTGTATGGAAGAGTGATGCTACTGACACCGAGAATGTCAGTCCCCCCCAACCCCCCGCATAAGCCCATGAAGAAGTTCTAGGCCATAACAGAAGAGCAGTGCTCTGAAGCTCTAGGGTCAGGTCTCAGGGTTTTTCCCAGCCCATTTTATAAGATTTCCCAATTAAAGAGGCACAAATCAACAAATCTATTATTTAACATATAAGTCTCCATGGCATGACATTTGATAGACTCGTACAGCCTCAGTGGTGACCCAGACGCATCCTCTCATGCTAAGAGCTATTCCACCTATAAAGCACTTGTTGACCCAAGTTTGGCTTGGAGCTGAATGTGCCTCCTGTCCTTTGAAATGGTCACACTGGAAATGGTTCTGTACAGCTAATAACTCCTTTAACCAGAGTGTTTGCTTAGCCAGCCTCCTCCATCCCCTAGTCAAGCCTGAGAACCAAGTTCACTATCTTTTTTAAGGAATAACCCACTTAACATTTTTAGGCCACTGAGTCTCATGAAAACAGAAATATTACAATCCCCAAAAGCCCTTTGCAGCTCTGACCTGGGAGCTCCAATCGTCCTAGATTGTCATCTCGACTGCCTTGGTCCAAAGCACTTGCTTCTTCTGCCAAGGGATTGGACGCCAGCCCACTGAGGCAAAACTGAAAGCCCCAACCTTTGTGTGAGGTGATGGAGACTGGGATGGGGGTGAGGAGGGGCATCAGAGAGGCAGAGGCAGGAAGGCTCGGCATCTGCACAGGACTGTCCCTCCCCTCCCCTCTAAACCCTTACCTGTGACTAGATGGGCCACTCAGAGCCCACCCCAGATGTCCCTCCGCTGTCAGTTTCCCTGGGTGTTCAGTTTCCCAGACAGCACCAGGACAGGGGGCGGGGCAGCCAAGGAAGGACGCCTGCCCACGTCAGCAGGACTGCTTCCTCCTTGATGATGTTGACTGATTGCCCAAAACGAGGCCTCGGTCTGATGTGCCCCCTCCCCTGTGAAGGCCATCGGATCACGGAGGGACATGGAGTCTCCAATGGGCAGCCACCTGACCCAGGAGTGCATGCTTCTTCCAGGTTTAGGGTAGGAGACAACAGTTTTCCTCACATGCTAAGTTCAAGAGGAAAGACGGGGTCCCCCATCCACCCTCAGGTCCCCAGTTCAGTCATGTTGGGAGAAGCTGAACCTTCCGGATACCCTGAGAAGGAATCTTGCCCACTGGGAGCCTCCCCTCCTCACACCCCCTCCTTTGAGAACATTAAATAGAGGAGAAGAGGGAGGGGGACATTGCACCTGGACCACCAAAAGAAAAGACTCCCCCAAAGCACACAACCTGGCCCCCACAGACCCACACGATGCGGTGGGGCTGAGCCCAGGCTGGCTTTCCCCCAACACCTGGCAGCAACAGCAGTCTGTCCAGATCGCAGCCTGGTGTTTATCTGGTGGGGGTTGACAACCCGAACCTACCTGTGCCAGTCTCCCCAGCAACCCAGACTCTTGATGGCTTTTATCTGCAGGCCCTCCCCTCGGAAGGCTTTTAGCTCACTGCGAGTAGTCAGGGAGGCAGCTGACCGCGAAATCCACTTGAATTCGGTCCATTGTTTTCAGAGGGCTTTCAATGACAACCAAAATTGGCCCTTCAAGAAGGAAACAGAAATGTTCCTTTGTCCAGGGGGGAGACACATGGGGATTTAGGATCTAGCACTCTGGAGCAGTGGCTTGAGAATCGATAGCTAATAATCTAACCAATCTGAGAGGTTCGCATTCTGCTTTAAAATAGCACCCGATGCTGCGAGACTGAAAAGAGCAGCAGCTATTCTGACATCACCACCGGCAGTCAGACACCCCAGGTAACTCAGTTCAAAAGGAAAGTGATTTAAATATAGAAGCTCAGAGAAGGCTGTTTACCCGGAGGCACATTTACTGCTG